ACAATTTTTAGTGAACACATTTGTTTTTATTATTTATTATTATAACACTGGACAAAAATAAAAACATCAAAAACAAAACATTTGGCTAACATGCTCTAGTTTGAAAAACTATTTGTAATGAATTTATTGTCATTTTCGATTCTGTGAAGCTTGTAATGGATTCCCGATGAAACGAAAGTTCCTAGGCGGGTCCTACTAAATCTTGTCCTATAGCAACATCACAGTTTCTCTACATGGGTAACAATATTCACCCAGTCCATTAATAATACGGAGGTTGAATCTAGATTTTATCAGACTAAATTTATTAAAAAAAAAAAAAAAAAATGGGAAGATGCATTGGGAAATGAAGTTAATAAAAGGATAGGTCGGGTGTTAGTAGGACGAAAAGATGATGTACAGATTGCATCTTCTGGTTTTAGCTCAAAACTTAGGTGCAGACAGAGGCATGAGAGTTCAGAAATGGTTAGAATTAATACTTTCATATATCAATATAGAGATAGATATATATAGCTAGCTGGTGCTTACTCATATCATATGATCTTTCTAGCTATTTAAGCAGTACACGCATTGAGTGCTTCTTACACAATATGGTGTTCCATCTTTTTCTTCATTCATTTAATTATTTCTTGGTATTTTGTCACATGCATGCAACATTCTCAATTCTATTTTTGTCATATCATTCTAGCTGGCCGACCATGTTATTAAACAGTCCAATCGTTCAGTCCACTAATACTATGTTTCCAATTCCTTGCAAGAACATTTACATACACTATATATATATATATATATATACACACCCGCCAACATATACATACACACGCTGGCAGAACCAAAAATTTACTTCACCCGCCAAGATATACATACACACACTGGCAGAACCAAAAATTTACTTCAGATGGACAATTATTAACAATAATATAATTAAAAAAAGATAATGCTTGACTATTCACCGGTGAGTAGTTTTACCTTACTTACCCTTTATGTGTTCCAATAACAAAATAACACATTATCTTTAATAACAAAATAATCCACGCCCTCCTCTGTTTTTTCGGATCAACCATTGAAGAGATTTTTTATTATTTTGTTATTAAAGTTGATGTGTTATTTTATTATTGGAACACGTAAGGGGTGAGTAGGGTAAAATTACTCACCGATGAATAGATAAGCATTGTCTTTAAAGAAATTAAACTAAAATAATAAATAACACTAGCTCTTTTGTAGATTACCAAAATAACAAGAATCTCTCATATAGTTTTAAAATTAACACCAAATATGATGTTTTTTATTTTTATTTTTATAAACAAGTGTATCAGTCTCACAATACACATACCATTCAAGTTAGAAGTGCGGTTCGAAAGCGAGACTTCAAGGACTTACCTCCCAAATCTCTGTCAACGCCGTTATGCCCCTGGAGACCAAATATGACGGTTATACAATAAATTTTCTTTATTATGAATTGAATATGATCTATATATACAAGCATATTATAATATTTATACATGCGGAATTAATTCCTATAATTTTGCTAAAGTTTTTCAACAACATTTCCTTTACTTCGATTAAGTGTAATATAAAATTGCATCACTGATATATGATACATGGATGGGATTGTTAGGTTAGGAACTGGTTCTTTATTAATACATATGCATGAATCTTGATCACTGAAGATATATACTATATGTGGACAGATGTACAATGAATGCTTGTACCTAGATTCCAATCTACTTATACATTATAAAGGAATTGCAACAAGAGAAAACGCACAACAAAGTTTGGTGGATGGTGTTTTGAAAAATGAGTTAAAGAAATGTATATTTTTTTTATTTCTCTTTAAAATTTTATCTGTTTTCACAATTATTAAAAAAACTGAGATTGGAATCAAATGAGGCCATATTGTTTTCATTTTTTTATTAATCTTCAAATTTTACAACAGCGAGAGTCTCTGAACTAGTCCTTTTTTCTTTCCTTCATGTTTAGCAATGTTAAATTGTTCAATATTAACCAAGTTCGTGACTTGGATGACAATTAGAGTAGGAAGTGACAAGATATAAATTGTTCAATAAATATCTTAAACATCAGGAAATAAATAAATAAATATCTTAAACAATTTCCTACAATGGTTGACGATGACTTACTCTTTCCACAATTTGTGTCGTTTTTAGGGTACTTGAGTAGTGGGAATATACCAATGTTTAAGCATATTCCAATCTCAATTTAATTATTTAAATCCTTTTAATTTTGTCTTCTTGCCAATCTTTGTTACAGGCATTACTCATCCCATTTTTGTTCCTTAATTTTATTTCACGTTACAAGGCTAGCTAATGCTATACAATTCATAGCAAAGAAAAGACGCTATCTAAGTATATGCATATATATATATATATATATACTTGAGAACATTAGCAAATCAGCACTTACAAACACACAAAAACATGAGATAAACGCGCGTGCGAGCATGCATAAGTACATAAATAATTTATAAGTATGTGCTCAATCCCCCATTAAGAAGTAATTATAAGTTTATAATCTCAAAACTTAGAGAATGGGCCATAAGTGGACAGCAAAGAACATATAAATTAATGGAAGAACAGCCAGAAAGGGCAAGACCTAGGGATTGGGGATGTTTGAACAATATAATACACATTATTTTAAAAGCATGGTTCACTTCCTGCAATCTAGGCAACTAAATTAATCAAAAAATTATGATAAATTATAGTATAAGTTTTACTAATATAATCATCTATATGTGGAAGCCCATAACTATATTTAGAAACTACAAATGGGTTTTAGAATATAATAGGGTAACTCCCTTCCATGTTATGTTTAGTGTCATATCTTCGTGCATCAAGTCCTAAATCTGAAAAAAAAATAAAAATTAACTAACTGAAGTTAAGGTTTTAGATAAAATTATATGACAAAATAAAGTTTATATAGTTGACCAAAATATGAGATAAAGTGTCACGAGGCATCCCAACTTGTGTAAATGTTGTTCGTTTTGTACATTCTTCTCTCAGTATTCATGATTTTATTCAAAATTCTTCTATGCTAGGAATCGACTCAGATACCATCTGTCACAACCTACCTCAATTTCATGTAGATATTGTCTAATTTGCAAACTCTACTTTTGATGCTCACGATTTTGTTCAAAACACTTGGTTGAGGGAATCCACATATATTAATGACAGAAATTTCTACCTCGAGACGATGTGAAACTGTCACATGTCAATAAATTGACATCAACCCAGATGGTATGATATATATCTCATCTCTAAAGGAAAATCGAGTGTTCAACCCTTTTTAGGAGCAATATTATGGATGTGTATGCATATGGTTGAACTTTTAAAAAATATAAATATAAATAAAAATACATAAATAGGATAAGAGTTTGTTTTAGTCTAGTTTTAAAATATAAAAATGTAAAATTCAGGTGGTAATATATATTGTGGAGGAAGAAAATGAGATAGGAGGAGAAAAGGCAATTGAATTAGTAAGGGGATGGGGACAGCATGCTTGGTGAATTAAGAGGTGGGGTGATATGGGGGAAGGGAATGGCGTGTGAAATAAATATAAAATGTTTCCTATGCATACAACAAGTGTGTCGAGTGAAGGAGGGTGGATGAGGGTACATGGTGATAGGGTATTGCCAACATGTTTATTCAATCATCAATGCACAATGCTCTATGGTTCCTTCTGAAATTCTTATCATATATATATACATATATATATATGCCCATCCAATGTGTGTGTGCATATGTATATATATGTTGTATCATTAATTAATGTGTGTGGTGTGTGTTTGTATTACTGTACTCATGCATATAGAAATACCCAACACAATATCCATTTTTAACCTTTTTGATTAATAAAATGTTACCTTCACTTGTAAAGTTCTGAATCATAAAGGGGAAAGTTCATATATGTTAAAGGATTGGTGGAAAGGAAATGGATTCTGTCACCACTGTGTCTTGATGTCAAACTTTTAGTCAATTGAATTGGAAATCAGACATTATATATTTGATTGTGATATCTATGGTTTTATTAGAAATTTAGATTTTGGAATATTGGAGACTTTGTCCATTAAAATGACATTCTTAATTAATGGCATGGTTTATGTCCGTTTTTGGATTAGCCCAATAACTAATAAACAATTAAGATGAGATTTCACCGATTTCATCACATTTACATTGTTTCTGAAAATCTCAATTCAACAATAATAAGAGACAGCGAGGTCAGTAAGAAGAATACAATGAAACAATGTATCCAAAGTTCAGAGTTACAAAGGTGATTAATTTTCAGATTTAAGGGGCATATAACTATATATGATGGAGGAGTGGCTATAGAAAATAGTCTTAACAAAAATAGAGTTGAATGTTTAAATGAAAACAGATTTTAGTAAATAAAGGGGAAGTACTGGGTCACTGGGTAATTTTGAATTTTAAAACTACTATGATTTATGCATGTGTTCCAATTACTTGAAGTAGAATTTGAAATTGATAGTCATTTTCCAAAAAGGAAAATAATGACCCATTTTGTATATATACTTAATTTAATAAGTCAATTATTTCATTACTTGAAATATGTATGCGTAATGTATTTTACAAAATTCCTAGTACAGTATTTTTTTTTAATAATATGAAGTGAATCTCACATACAAATACAAGCTGTGGATTCAAGAGTCTTTAAAATATCACTGTATGTGTGTGTGGTTCACACGTGCTGGTGCGGGTTGGGTCCGTTGGGATATAAGCCCGATACATATACGTGTGTATGGTTCACACGCGTGGTGGTAACGTCTATATATACAAGCATGGTGAGGACACACTAAAGAGTGGTCAAGCAAAGGCATTACTAGTTGATTCATGTATTGTTCAGTGACTCATATTTGTATATATATGATATATATACAGAATTGAGAAGCAGATTTTTCCTCCTTCTAAGCTATTTCTAGTTTATAGTCAACGAAGGAGATATATATATATATATATATATTGATAGATAGACATAGAAAGAGAGACATGGAGGGAGAGAGTGAAATGAAACATTTAATATTCAAGAGGATTTGTGTGTTCTGTGGGAGTAGCCAAGGAAAGAAGAGTAGCTATCAGGATGCTGCTATTGAGCTTGGCAAGGAATTGGTACGTAATGGCCATTTTTTATGTATATGTTTTGTTCTGTTAACAACATGTTTGTTATAATGCGACAGTGTTCTTTTGGGATTTGAGATGGGTTTGTTTTTCTTGAATCAGTACTTGAAATTTACTTAGTCTTCATGTTAATCTGTTTGTAAGTTGTTTCATGAGCTTTTTTTTATTATCTAAAAGTACTTCAATTGATGCCTTGAAATGGCACATTCTTGTTGGTTTCTCTTCTAAATTATCATTCAAAAGTGTTGTTTTTGGTAAGTTATTTAAGCAAATCCTTTCATATTAGCCATGACTTAGTTCAGCAGCTCTGTTATTTAACAGGTCTCTCTCTCTCTCTCACTCTCTCTATACACACACACACACACACACACACACATATATGTAATGTGTGTGTACTGTGTACCTATATCATGTGATTCATGTGAAGCTATATTCAGTGCTTCAAGTTACTTTCCCATATCAAAGATGGAAAGAATATGCTTTTCAGCTTCTGTGCATTTTTTCCATGCTTATCTTACAATCTTAAAGGTTTTTTTTTTTTTTTTTTGGGTTATAGTAATTTCAAATGGGTTCATCGTACCCACCTCAAAATTTCCATTTTTCATCCAAAAAAAAAAATTCTTATATGCACTATTTAGGCTGATTTGACATTTGTCTGTTGAAGGTGTCAAGGAACATTGATCTGGTCTATGGAGGTGGTAGCATAGGCCTAATGGGGTTGGTTTCACAAGCTGTTCACAATGGTGGTCGGCATGTTATTGGGTGAGCTTCCTTCTCCTTTACTATTCCTTCCATTGTATCCTCAAAACTCTCAAATAAATTAGAAAACAAACGAAGTGACTAAGAAATTGTTGGTTTTTCAACTTTACAACTAATTTTTGTCATCTTATTGTCTCTCTTGCAGAGTGATTCCCAAGACGCTCATGCCTCGAGAGGTATGTCTGCTATACACAAAAAAAGTCTTGAACCTTTCCTTGTAAGATTAATTAATTAATAAAAAACCCACTAATCTACTAGTACTATTTTTAATCACTTTTCTAATGCTATGGACAGAGTTTAGTCCTGGTACATCCTTATCTTCCTTCCTTTTCTTTTTCTTTCTTTATTTGATTATATCTAGCTATTACGTTTTATATTAGTACTTCCATTTAACATATAGCTTATGATGTTAATATAACTATAAATATATATATGTATATATGTAAGTATATATATATTGCTTCTTTACTACTGTCTCTCTCCCTCTAAATTCTAATATGTACATATTGTGGGTTGAAATGAGTGTGTGTGTGTGGAGGAGGGGGTTCTCAAAGTTTTGTAATTTTTTCCCCTTTTTTTATTGTGTGTGTGTTTGGTACTTGATAGCCCTTATCCATGGTACCATTTGTAAGCTGGCATCTTACCACTTCTATATAATTTTTAAGTTTCAAATGCTCCCTCTGATATTTTCCTTTTTGGTTTCGTCTTTGTTGGATGGTCAGTTCAGCCATTAGTATATCCCTCTTTGTTCTTTTTCTTCTTGGCTTTTTGCTAACTTGTTTATTCTTTTTGTATTTATATCCCTCTGGTATTATATGAACCATTGGCTCTGGAGTTAGCTGATTTAAAGAATTCGGATTAGGACAACCTTTCCAGCAAGCCTATCTAGTTTTAAGTCCACCATTTACTGCAAGCTTCATCATTGCTGCACTGCACAAGTGCAGAACACTCCCAAAAAAACTAAAAATAAAAATAAAAATCTAAACTCTCTCTATATATACAACACATATACACACATAAAATATATATATAGATATATATATATATCCGGATTTTAACTTTATAATATTTTTTCTACTTGGGTTTTGGTACCCTTTTGCAGTTAACTGGTGAAACAGTAGGGGAAGTGAAGGCTGTTGCAGATATGCATCAAAGGAAAGCAGAGATGGCTAAGCATTCTGATGCTTTTATTGCCTTACCAGGTTAGTGTAAATTTTTTTATTTTGGACAAAAATTCTGAGCAAATCAACTAAAGACAAGGACTTCAGGGCTATTAGTTTTCTATTTCTAGCTTGAGAGATTGACCATGATGTATAAACCTCGTGTTTTGGTTCTTTTCAGAGTTGAAAATAGGTCAGCTTGTAATGATGAATTTCCTTGCTTGATCTTTAGTTGCTAGTCAAAAGGAAGTAAGAAGTGTCAGTCCCTTTAGTCAAATTACTAAAAACCCATTCCTTTGTTAAGATCAAAATTTTAATTGCAAACAAATGTGTGCAAAAAGGAAAAGCAAAATGACAAAAAATGATTAGTTTTGTGCCTATCCCACTGCCTTGTATTACCATCACCTTTTGTGTCAATCTTTATACCCAATAGGCTTGTCAGCCTGAGTTTTTACAACTGCACCAAGCAATGCCCTCTTGTTGATTATTTTAATTTGGGTTCATTAAATCAATTGATATATATATATATATATGATTCTTTTGAGGGGGCAAAGTGCAATGATTTTCCTTTTATAATTTGCTGTTGTGTTTTTGAATTTGATACATGTATGGTATATGGTATTGGTAATATTGCCAAAGCAGCTGTGTGAAGCCTAAATCATCACAAGATTCAGAACCCTCTGGACTCTCCCAGAAAACCCTAAACCCTTGATGAGAGGGCAGCTTTTCAAACCCTAGTTATTGACCAGTCAACATCTTACACTGAAAATTAGAGCTTTTGGTCCTGAATGACCTACTACTGTGTTTTATAAGTATGTGTTTTCCTTTTTCCTTTGTTGTAGTAATAGCCTCTGATGCTGCTAACTTGACCAAATTTTCTTCCCGAATTAAGGGGACAATGATTTACCAAAAAAGGTAAAAAATTGAAAAGGAGATGAGAGTAACCTTTTACCAAATTAGTTTTGGGCAACAAGCTCCCGCACCTAACAGGAAGTCATGTTCACACCTTATACTTTTGATCTCCCCTTTTTCACTTTAGTCTCATCCTCGTGGGTTTTTATCTTTTTTCCCATTTGTCCTTTATTGGTGGGTTTTACTCTTGTGCTAACACGCTCAGAAAGATGGGAAGAACATGTAGGGGCAAACTTGTCTGTGAGGAGAAAAAATATACTACTATAAGAGAGACCAATGAATATCATGTTTTGGGAAATGGAAAATGGGTGAGGTTAGCTGGTCATTAACATTCATTTTGAATGGCTTTTGAGGCCATGATAACCATCAAATGGAAGGTACTAAGCTTAATAAGTCTTAACCAATTTAAATTCTACCCTGAAGTTCCTACTTATTTCAAATGGGTGATTTATTAATAATCTTGAAATTAAGGAACTATGTTATGTGATGATGTTACATGCAGGTGGTTATGGGACTCTTGAAGAGCTACTTGAAGTGATAACATGGGCTCAACTTGGCATTCACGATAAACCTGTAATTCTTACATCTGCTTTATGAGATTCTGTTGGATTGTTGCTGATCAACCCTGCTAAAATTGCCTTTGAGAATCTGCTTTAATTAACCGCGTAAACTCTAATTCAATGCTAATAAATATATCTCATTTTACTGTTTTTGCAGGTCGGGTTGCTGAATGTAGATGGATACTACAATTCACTGCTATCATTTATCGACAAAGCTGTGGAAGAGGGCTTTGTTAGTCCAAGTGCACGTCATATCATTCTCTCTGCACCAACTGCAAAAGAGTTGGTGAAAAAATTGGAGGTAACATAAAAACTCAACATCACAGTTGCCTTTTTCAGTTAGATTTTTTCATCTCCTCTGAACTACTTTTCTAAGAAAATAATTGCTGCAGACAGTTTCTGAAATAGTTTAGTGCCTGTCCTGCTCTTAAAATGAAAAGAAAAGATTGCTTATTCTGTTTGTTCCATACCACAAAAATTCAGAAAGTAAAAAATTCCATTTGTTTCATGGTATGTCAATGGACATTTGACACCGGAAAACATGATTTCCTCTCACATTTGAAAAGATTCATATAGATAATACAGTGGATTAATCCCATTGTCATATACTTGTTATCACAGGAGTATGTTCCTCGCCATGAACGAGTTGCTTCAAAGGTGAGCTGGGAGATGGAGCAACTTGGCTACCCTCAACAATATGATAATTCTAGGTGACATGGTGGTTTGACACAGAAAAGAAGCTAACTTGGAAAATTTGATGCTGTCAATCTGAGGGGAATTCTTTTTGTAAATTACTTGCTGTAATTGACTTAAATATGCTAAGCTTCACTATTCCCGTCAATTGGAAGTTTGGTTTTCTTTTTTAAGTTGTAAGTGCTAGATGCATATGATATTCTCCTTCTAATGGTAACTTGTCCAAGTTTTTTTGCTTTGTCCTGTATTTCTTCTTCTTATTGCCATGAAAACATATTTATGTGTATGTATACATATGTATTTAAAAATAAATAAATAAATAACTGTACCATAGCTCCCCATGCAAATGTGACATAAATTCCTAGTTGAAGATCACGGGGAATATACACATGAACTTTCATGATTCTATCAACTCCTCTGGCAACCAGAAGCTTTATTCTTAGATTCCTGAATAAGGGATGTGGCCTTGTGATTCTATTGTTGATAGATCCTATTGATAGGCCTGCAAAAATGCTATGTGTGTGTGTGTGTGTGTGTATCTATATATATAATGCAATCCTAGTGTAAAAGTGACAGAAAACATGCATTAGCAACCATTTGACATCCTTGCATTAGTAAAGTGGAGACACCTTAGCCATCAGATGATTGCAAAAACAAAATAGTATATTATACCTGACAACAGAATATATATTGAACTTTTCTGAATCCATATCTGAATCATTGAATGTACATTGATGCACAGATGAAGATCAGAACCAACTTAGAAAAAGCAGCCAAGTGTCTTTAATTGAAAGATGAAAGAGAGGCCAACTTTGAAACAGTTCTCAAGTATGTGTTTGCCGTTAAGGTTTGAGCTAGGCCAATTGTGGAACAGACATGTCCAAGACAGTTCTCAAGTACCTGTTTGCTGTTAAGATTTGAGAGCTACAGACAACGGACAGAATTGGTCTAACCAACAACCGGTAACTGAAGGGGGCCAACGAGTTGATTGGAAGAGAAGAGAAGGGGCCTCTTGGTGCTCATTTAGAGCGAGAAGGGTGGCTCCACTCTCATGGACAAATGGGACACTGACATGTTTGTGGAGGGTCCACACGTTATGGAATCAATGGGGAGGAAAAAGTACGAAAGGATCATGTGTCATGGATATGTTAGGACAATATGATAGCTAACTATGGCCCCAGTTTCATTTTGCGTATGCAGGTTGTTCATGGCAGTAATGTGAAATGCTGACCTGAAGAAATAAAAAGCAATTGGAGGATGCGGGGTCGAATTTGATGAGGTTTTGGTTCGGATATGAAGGAGAAAAACATACACAATCAAATATGTTCTTTGATATGATGTGAAACACGGGAGGTTGTGAAAAACAGAACCAAATTGGCAAAACCTTGTATTTTTGCTTTGAAAATGCAATGGAGGAACAAAGTATTCAAATGAAATAGATATGTATATTCATATATAATACACACATCCATCTGTATACAAGATTGCCTTCGCTAAACAGTCTGAGAAAAAATTATTAAGAAATCTCATAGGTTTCAGATAAAGAAGATATCAACATAGCTAAATGATCTCATCCATGACATGCATTCAAAATATATAAAAGAGATCATTTCTTGTGAATTCTAAGATTAATGTGAAGAAATGCTACAAATAACAAAATGGGGGTCACTCATAAGTTTCGAGTCCTTTTCAATCGACAGTAGAATGTTACCCTAGTTATACCTCTTAACAAATCCGCTAGGTTTTCATGTCTATTTTCAACTGTTTTGACCCAACCCAAGGTTGCAGTGACATTGGGTTGAATAAGCGATTTCAAGATTGAAAAGAATCTGTATATTGCCGTACTTTGAATGGTTTACAATGCTTTAGTTAAATAGGAAATACAAGGGGCTAACAAAAGGAAACTACAGGCTATAATTACATGCTGTACACTAACAAACAGGCTGTACACTAACAAAAATTCCTAATTTTAGTCATTGACTATCTATATTTACACACCTATCATATCCCCAAAAATCTGGTTTTATTAAAACCGAATATCTCTTTTTCAACACTCCACCTCGAGCTGGCTTGTAGATGTCTTTCATAACTAGCTTGTGTGATACTACTCGATTCTAGAATCACGGGTGATCAAGTCCGAGCACAGATCCGAGGGATATCAAACAATTAATATTTAAACAAGCATTTGAATACAAAAGGAATAATAAAGAAATAAATAAATAAGAAGCTGAAGGGAACTAAATAATAAATTCTTATTTAAAAATCCTCAAATAAATAATTATTAAAATCCCATAATAAAATCCTCCAATCCTCTGATACCAGTAATTAATTAAACTACAACTCGAGAATCCATATTATGGACCCCTAATAATATCCCAACTGAAAAACTGAACTTTAATAAAACTAATAATTAAACCATGAAGAAAAGTCCTACGTAGAGTCGGAAGAGTGAATGACTGTCTATATTCGGCACGAACAATCTCTAAGACTGGAACTGACGAACACCTGAAAATAATGGTGGGTCAGGCCCACATACAAGTTCTAAATCTACTACATCCCAAACAGAGACCCAATACACGTACACATTCTAATTAATTCAACAATAACTAAATAGTCCATATATAGATATACACACACTAAAGGAACCAGTAATACCCCTAAATTCAAAAGGATAATTATGATATTTTTATTTATTATTTTATTGCATTTTTAAATTGTTTAAGTGTGTATTTTCATTAATTGGTGTATTATTTGATTTTATCTGAATTTATTTGAACTACTTGATATTGTTTAATTTAATTGTTATTAGTTGATTTTATTTGAATTAAATGTTTTATTTTTAGTTTTAATTTAATTGTTTTAATTGTTTATTTATTTATATATGTTAATTGGTTTAATGTGTTTTAAATGCATTAATTGTAACTTAGGGTTTTAGGTTTTATCATAGCCGACATTGTTATAACCTAGGATTACCTATGGGCCGAGTGATATCTGTATGGACTTATGGTTTCTGTAAAGTCTATATATATATTGTTTATACGTTGATTTAGGGTTACAAATAAAAACCATATTCACCATAATCACGTATACAGTGTGATAGAGAGAAAACAGAGAAAAGATTGAGAGGAAATACATAGTGAACTTGAGTGATTCAAGGAGGAGTTCGGGACTGAATTAGGAGCAGCAGAGGCTGTTTGATACAACTAAGGTAGCCAAAGAAGATAGAGACAACAGTTAGGGGTTTTTAAACCAAAGTCTCAAGGCAAGTTTCTGTTCTTCTCCTTCCCTTTAATTCGTGTTCTGTGCATGCCTAGTTAGATTCCAGGAATTTAAACTAAAGATTGAAAATGGATTAAACGCAAAATATATCAAGTCTTGTATGCATGTATAAACTATACTGTCTCGTTGAAACGAGTGTTTGCAATAAGTCTTGAGGTTTCTGTTATATGTTTCTTCTCGGTGTTTTGTGTCGTTATTGATTAAATTTAGACCATGATTATGTAATTGATGATCAAACTCTAAATCAAGTGTTAAAAGCAGTAGTTATTATCATTGAATAAATCTGTTTAGAGTCTCTTAAATTTTCTAACTGAAATTCTGTAGCTGTTGCTTTAAGAGGTGGTGTTTCAATACAGCTTAGGATTGGATATCAGTGGTTTAACATTTATCTAGGACTAAGTTTGAACATAGAACGAGGATGTAAAAACACCATAGAGGCTCTGTTAATCACTGGAGTTGGAGAAGAAGACGCATAAACGAACTACGACATCTAAGGAACGAAGAGCAGGCTCCAAAAGAGGAGGAGCCGCCTCTCCTACCCTTAGAGCCGGCTCCCAAAGGCGTGTAGCCGGCTCTACCTTGCTAGGAGCCGGCTCCTGGGGTATTAGAGCCGGCTCTTGTTGAAGAAAGAGCAGGCTCTGTAATTTTCATGAGCCTGCTCTCACCTACAGTCTTCCAGTTTGGTTTTTGGGCGTTGTTTGACTTCGTAGGGTGTTTTTAATTTGTTTAACTTGGTTTAAAGGATGAATATGACTGTGGTGAACCTTTAAAACAATAGTGCAACATTAATTTGTAATTTATTTAAGACATGGAGTAACATACAGTTTAAGGAAACTAGTACTATTGCACACTGTTTTTGCTAGTTTTATGTACTAGAACTTAGCAAGGTTTTATATATGATTTAATAATATATAATCATATTTGCACAGTATTATAAGTATGTTGAGTTAACTAAAATTAACTATACTTAGTTGGGATTTAATTGTTACTTGAATCGTTGTAATTGTATCAATGTATGGGCTATTTGTGGAAGATTTAAATGCTATGATTTGTTTAGCAGTTTAAATAGTTGGAACATGATTCTGTAGTAAATACCTCATGTCATTTGATGTGTATTTGTATATATTGATGCATATACTGGAGGATGGTTGTTGATTATTCCTAAATCTTATTTTGGATGCATTAATTGGCCATATACATGTTGGACTATATTTATGCTAAATTCTGGAGTGTAGTTGATATATATTTAAACTATTTTGTCAACTACGTGTGTATGGAGGTTTGTATGCACCGGTATAGGACGGTGACATACTAGGGACGGCTTAGTTCAAAACACTAAGACCTACCTATGCTAGGGACGGATTAGTATAAAATACTAAGTCCTACCTATTCTGAAATAAGTTGGATTAACTATAAAAGTTAAGTCCTACTTATCTGGATGTATATGCACCGGTATGGGACGGTGGCATATTAGGGATGGCTTAGTTCAAACACTAAGACCTACCTACTTTAGGGATGGATTAGTTCTAAACACTAAGTCCTACCTATTTTGAAATAAGATGGATTAACTACAAAAGTTAAGTCCTACTTATAACTATGTGTCAGGTCAATAAACTTTTTGAATGACACACCTTGAACGAACGTTATATATTTATTATATGTGCCATGGTATGAGCGTGAGTCTCAGGACCATGGTTAGGGTGCGTATATTGCCTAGGATGGATAGCTGGACAGAGGTGTTGTTCCCTGGTAGGTCTAGATACACATGACCACAGTATGTGCGATTTGCATGGTATCTCTATTCAAGCTGAGACAGACCTTTTTGGACTAGTGAGCGTCCTATAGTGTGTACTTATACATATATGGACTACTCTAGATATTGTTGAGTCTTTCTAGTATGTATCTGCGTATCGGATTCCTGTTTGGATTGTAGTAGATCAGGACTTGCATGTGGGCCTG